GAGGGTGTCCCTGCCCATGGCAGGGGGCTTGGAACTAGATGGTCTTTAAGGTCCCTTCCAACCCAAACCGTCTATGATTCTATGAAGAAGCAAATTTGCTACAAGGATGTGTGTGTGTGTAAAAGTGAAATTTTGAAGGCCTCTTCAAAATGGGCTTTGGGATGGATTTTTTTCCTCTTATTTTCTATTTTTTTCTCTTCTTTTCTATTCCTTCTCATTTTAGTAGGCATTACTCTCTTGGTCAGGTGGAAGTGTTCTCTTCTTTGGTTGAGGTCACTGTATGTTTTTTCTTTTCCAGTTACTGAAAAGTTCAGTCCCTCCATTATTCTGTTGAGTATGTCTTCTTAGACAGCTCTTCGGTCAAGTGAGAGACTTGGCTGATGGTTGTGCTTTTTATTTTTTTTAGGTTCTGCTGGTATCATATGCATACTGTGCATGCTTTTTGTTGGCGACAAGTGGAGAATGATGGCAGTAACTTTTATTCTGTTAACGTTGCCTTTAAGGATGCGGATAACCTGATCAGAGGGGAGAAAATAACTTGAAACAAAAGAAGCAAAACTAATGAATTATTTCTTTAATACCTACCTGGAAAATCTTGGGTTTTTTTTCCCCACTTTTTTTATCTCAACTTACACTTGTTAATTAATGAAATAAGTGCTTCCTTGCAAGATTTAAGTTCAATCTTTCTGCTTTCTAGTCTCTAACTAGCAGAGAAGGGGAAAAAAGAAAGCAGATTTGTTATGTGTTCCTGTGTTTGATTTGTAGGCCACTTTTGCAGATGTTATATAGCTGCTCTCGTTTGAATTTTCTGCTGTTTTTCTTCATGTTCATGAGTTATGCCTTTCCTTCACTGTGGAGATTTTTATTCTCTTTTAAACACACATGCTTTCCAGCTTCCTGTCTGTTTGCTGTAGCAAACTGCATGTCTTTACAGCAGTTAATGCACCTTTCCTTACTGCTTGTGGATGCTTTTTGTATTCATATAATTGCTACACCTATCAAAGAGTTCTTTGATATATAAACGTGTACACCCCACCCCCTTCCCCCCAGCTTTCCTTGTTTAACACTGATCCATATGACCTGTGGGCTTATACAATTACTTTAAATTTTTGTCTTTAGTTACATGTTTGGCAATAACAAGTCTCTTCTGATTCAAGAATTCCTTCATCAGTCATTCCACTGTATCTTTTATTATTTCTGTATATCACAGAATTACATCTCTTTATACGATGGGGTTTTGTTTGAACACTGTTCTTCCGATGTTAGATTTGACAATCTTTTCTGTCAGTGCCCTTCTCCCCTCCCCTGTTTTGTATTAATTTCCAGGAAAGTGTCACAAGATAACTTATTTTCCCTAAGTTCTCAATGATCTGCTGTGCTTCAAAGTTTCTTTGTTTTCCTTTTTCCTCCTACTGCAGATGGATACATTGTCTATATCTAACACTACAGCACCAGCTATTCTTTAGCTCATCTACTTTAATAGTATCCTTGGCTATCATATAGTGTTAACTTGTTATTTCAATCTTGCAGCAAAACTCCCTGTAACTTTTAGGGGGAAAGATTTACATGTTGCAGCCACCCGGCCTCACAGCAACGTGTGTGTGGTTATATTTTCCTGTGCTATGTTCAGTGTCAGCTCCATCGCAAGCTTGCAGCCAAGTTGTGTTCTGAGATCTGCCAGGAGTCTGGGGGCCTGGATGGACGGGAATGCTGGAGACTGGGGAAAGGCTAGGACTGCTTATAAAGAACAAAGGATAGTGGTACGAGTGGGTTGAAGGTGCTGGGAGAAATTGTAGGGTGATCCTGAGTGATTTGAGACTGTGTGAGAGAGAACTGGAGGGCAAAATATGGTGGTGATATGTAATGAGAGATTTTGTTGCACCTGTCCCTGTGTACATTCACAAAGATGCAAAAGGGACTGCCCCAACAACCCTTAGGGTACTCAACTCTTGGAAGTTCAATGTTCTGCTACTATCTGTGAAGATGAAGTACTAGCATACGTTCCCAGAGTCATCTTGACTCTGTGTTCTGCTTTTAACTTGATGTAGTTCACTGGCTTATGAGTGGTATAGTTTAGAAAGTGGATAGTTTATGAGGGTAAAAGGTTGGTTTATACATTTTTAGATAACAACATGGCATACTCTAGGCAGTAATGAGCATGTGTTTGCATGCTGGCTGCTTTTTGATGAAAGGTGAGCTTTACTGTATTCTGTGGCTGTTTCTACTTTAGTAAAGGAAGTGGTTTGGACAATGAATTGGTCCTATGCTGCTTTGAATTGAGTAAACATTTGTGGGAAAGTGATAATGACAAAAATTGTCATAACTTTCTCCATCTTAAATGATGATTGATTAAAATTTTATTACTGCACTTTAATGAGGTGTTTTATTTTCATTGGAATATGTTTTTCTTTATAATCTGCTTTTCTTTCTGTTCTTTTGTATGGAAATTTGCTTGAGTTCTGTGCCTTCCTCCCCCAAACAAACAAATAACTTTTGTCTTTCTTTTAGCAAACTGAAAAAGCTAAGTGAAGATAGTTTAACTAAGCAGCCTGAAGAAGTCTTTGATGTTCTGGAGAAACTTGGTGAGGGGTAAGTACAACTATTTATGAGGGAATGGGATCAGAGGGAAACAGTATATAAAGCATGTAGGAATATTAAGTTACAGAGAGAGTGACAGTAAATGCCTTAAGGAATGCTTCTCTGGACAAGTGTTAATAATAAAGCAGATGCATGCATGAGTAGACTTCCACACTTCCTCAAATCTATTTATGCATTTTTGATGTCCCGTGTTTATTAAGGCTGCAGAGATGCTTGCACCTGTACTGGAGATAGATACTCTACATCTTGACAAAAATTAATTCTTCAGAGGCATGTCTTTCCTGAGGTCCTGATAGAAATGAATTTTTTGCAGCCTGAAAAACCCCCTCAAACTTCTGTGTGATCATATGGCTTCTGTGACTTCTTAAAGTTTCTGTATAATGGTAATGAGAAACAATTGTTCAAAAAATAAATTCCTTCTCTTATTTTTAGGTCTTATGGTAGCGTGTTTAAAGCAATACACAAAGAGTCTGGACAAGTTGTAGCAATTAAACAGGTCCCTGTGGAGTCAGATCTTCAAGAAATAATTAAAGAAATCTCTATAATGCAACAATGTGACAGGTAGGTATGACAATTCTGCTCCCTTTCTTGGAGTCTATGTGAAAATGTATTTGTACTTGTGAATATAGATGAAATGTATGCAGCTGCAAGCTTTTTTTAATATGGAAAGTTAAAGCAGTCTGTGTTGCACAATTTGCTTAAGGAACCACTTTGCGAACCTCTTCCTATCCTTAGGTTGGATTGCAGGAAGTACAAGTAGTGTACATCACAGCAACTGTTGAAAGAATAAGTACTTGCCTCTGCTTAGAATTCTTCGTGCTTGTTTCACTTTACTTGCACTGGCAAGCCCAAAGGTTAATATTTCTTGTAAATGTCTTAGGCCTTGTGAATTCCAAGTTACCTGTTTCAGAAGATCGATAAAGATGTTTCTAGCACAAGACTAACGGCTAGCAGTTAGCTTCCAAAATAGTATTTTATCAGTTGTCTTTTTCATGCAGGATTATACCTTTTAAAAAGTGAACATTCTTCTAATAGTTCTGAAGAAGGACTGTTAACCTTAGACTTGTTCACAAAGAATGTATCTTATGATTGCTAGTATTGCAGGAGTGGAAGCCTTAACATCAAGTTTCTGCAAGGATGCAGAAATAACTTTGCATTTCCTCTTTTCTATGGAGTTACCCATTTTTTATTTGTATATTTTTTGGGGATAATCTTTTAAGGTTTTGGCTGTAACTTCAAGGTCCGATTTGATAGGATGAGCCTTTATTCATGTCTGATCAGCGGTATCAGAATCCGTTGTTTGTGACTCAAAGTGCAAACAGGGAAGCTTTGCATTTTAATTAGGTGAAACTTTCTTTAAAATATTGATTGCTTTAGTCATTAACTTGGTGAATTATATTATAGCAAGTGGTCTGTTGTTTCTCAATTGTGTTTGTGCTTTTGTGGTGTGTCAGTGTTGAAGTTCTGTCTTTAAATGAAAAATTTGCTCTTTTTGGCAATGAGCAGTACTCATCCTAGATTTAAAGATAATCCTTTTAATGCAGTCTGAATTCATTCAGATTTGTCGCTGAATGTTTTGCTAAGGTGTTACACGGACTTTGATCGTACTGTTCCACAGCATCTTGTCTATGGGGTCGTGAAGGAGGAGAGAAGATTTCAAGTATTTATCCTTAAATACAGGGATAAAGACCTCACAGTACGTTGTATCTAGCACATGAGAATGCAACTGTTCTTCAAACTTCTTTAGAACCTCTGCCTGCCAGCCCTGATCTGAGTATTTGTGACCAATGAATACACTGGACCTTGTAATCCATTCCCTTCTGGCATTGACTGTTCTGAATGCTAGAAGCCTGTTAAAAGTGTAGGCAGAGGGATGGAAGGAAAAGGAAGCATTATGTTTTTTCCCACATTCCAGAAAGATGTGTGGTACTAAAAGGATTTGGAACCCTTGAATTTTGGTTGGGGCTCTTCTTAATCTTTTTTGTCCCTGTGAGACTTCTTTTGTCTGTCTGGCCAGTTGGAGTTTTGTAACAGGTATAGATTAAAAAGGAAGCAGCACTCTTGTTTGTCTGCTTAACTATGAAACTAGATTTGATCCTCAGAGTAGGTCCTCGGCTCTTCCTGTGCACTGGAAGAGGAGTTAAAAAGTATTAAGAGCACAGCAACAAGAAGAATCAAAGTAAACATATTTTAACTTCCCTGCTTCATTTCTTTCCCCTTACATAAAGACAGACCTTGAATAAGTTGGAAAATAGCACCTCATGGATTATCAGAAAGAGTTCTTCTCTGGGGTCAGTGATTGAATTGCAGCCCTTAGTCACTGCACAGGCTTGAGCCATGTGAGCTGACTGGAAGCAGTGGTGTAGGTTGTAGTGTATGTATGTCTGTTAGTACTAGACCAGGATTGAAACAGATACTTAAAACAGATGCCTGTGAAGTATGCTGAAAAAGAAAAGAAGTGCTGATACTTGAGAATCTTCTAAAATTTTCACCTTTCTTTCTGTACTATGCTTCTTGTGCCATTTTCATTCTTGTCCTAGGTGGGCCTACTCACTGTCTTATTCCTGTGTCCCTTGTCCTGACCCCCTTTTCTCTGTCCTTGTTCTTTGTTTCCTGCTTTTCTTTGAACAACATGGTGTGTTTAGTATCTACTGGAAGTGTATTACTGTATAACACTTTTAAGAAAAAGAGTGCAGAATTTTAGAACACAAACTCTTCCTTCACTGGACAAGATGCAGCTATTCTCTGGTTGAAGAGAAGGGTTGGGCTCTGCACCATGTGCTTGTATATCTGTCGTGTTCCTTGGTGCAAATACAGCCCTGTGCAGTACTGATGGGAGGGATGATGCACTTTTTAATACTTTATTTTCATATGTGATGATTCCACAGATGATATAGAAAAGCATTGAGCTGTTGCAGCATCTCAAATAAAAGATGATCTTTACTCTTTCTTTCTTCTCCATGCCTGTTTCTGGAATGAGCTACACTGTATGTGCTGAAGCTCTTCTAAGGGGAAAAACGTAGATTCTAAGACAAGCAGTTGATATGGAAAAGACTGGCCCATGTAGTTAAGTGGGACAAGGCTTTAAGCAAATGTGAACAGTGTTTTGAGTTTGCACAGCACATGGTGTTTTGAAAAGATTATCTTGTCTTGATTTGTAATAATACTCAATTTTTGCTGGGAAAACCAGCATAATAGGAATCTGGCAAGAGATGGCCATGAAAATCAGTGGGTTTTCTTCAGAAGTAACAGTAAACTTCCACGCTTCAGGAATTTATAAGGGGCAAGATTAGTATGTCATACTTGTTTGGACTAGTTAGGCGGGAATTGACCCACTTGCCTTCTGTAAAGGCAAGTTGCTATAGTACTAACAGTTGCTCTTTCATGAAGTAGTTTGCTGATTAGTTTTGACCTATCTTTTATAAAGATAGCACTATGTTGCAGGAGGCAAACATAGGTCCTCTCTTTTTCTTATATCATTTTTCTAACAAAAAATGTTGCTGCCAAACATGCTGATCCTAAAATACAATTCCTTGCTCCAAAACAAAAGTGTTTGATTCCACCCCAAAATGCAGGTGTTCTGAACAGAAGCCACTGTTTGAGATCTCAGTATTTTACTTCCTGACTTTGTGGGAGGTGGATGGCAATCTTGCTGTAACCTCCTTTGGTTAACTTCCTGCCAATAAACCTCCAACCTTTTATTTCCATAAATACACTATCTAACCACTTTTCTGAAGGAATGTCCTTGTTATGTTTACCACATCTGTTTCTGCCTTTCTTTTGCAAGTGCCTCTGAGGAAGTATTATGTCAAGTGCCAAACTGATGAGTAGCAAAGCAGTATGTTCTGTTTATGACAGAACTATCTCCTCACATGAGACGCTTCAATATGAAAATGCATTTACAAATCCAGAAGTCTTGTTCAAACCAAAACTAGATTTTGTTTAACATGGAAGTCTAGATCTATGCTTAAAATGAGTTCGTGCTTAGAAAATCAGGAAAACATGGGTGAGTTTCCATGGTTTGTTGTTCAGGAGGGAAGAAAACAAGGCAGCCTTTTCAAGAAGGGAAACATCCAATAACTTTGTGAGGAGAGTTAAAAATTAAGAAGGGCCTTAGAGGAGAGAAAAACAAAGCTTTATATCAGAAGACTAATGCTTGTGATAACTATGTCTGTATTTGAAGATCACTGAAAGCTTGTGATATGTACATATAGTAATGCCTTTATAATTTTATTAAGCAGACAGACTTTATTCTAACAAGGCATTGGTGAAGCCAATTACAGTTTTAAAATGTATTTGATTGCACTTGCTTTTTAGCTGTGTTAGTGTGTGTCAAACTGTAATTTTTAACAACACTGATGATGATTTTTTTTTTTCCTTACTAAGAATTTATCTATTTATCTAACTTTTTTTTCCCATCTAGTCCTTATGTTGTCAAGTACTATGGCAGCTATTTTAAGAACACAGATCTATGGATTGTTATGGAATATTGTGGAGCTGGCTCTGTTTCGGACATAATTAGACTTCGTAATAAAACGGTGAGTTTTTTCAAAAAATGTATAATGCTTATTAAAATTAAACTGTGAATTAAGACTAGAAGCCAGGATAAAAGTCAGAGTCACAAGACAAGATCTTGGCTGATGCCGAGGGGCATATCTGTGCCTTGGTTCCTCAGGAAACAAGCTTGTGCTTTGACTGTTTGTCCATTCCTCTGTGAAGTGATCATCAGCAGAAGCAAATGCATTTTGAAATATGAAGATCCTGTAACTTTCTTGAAAATTTCTGCTTTGTGCAAGGCAAAACTGTGTGCAGCTTCTTCCTCCCACTCTCTACCCATTCCACCTCGCAGTCTGTCAGCAGGCCACTTAGTACGTGCATGGTTTGGAACCAGGCATAGAATTGTCTTGTTCCCACTCAGTAATTAGGGACCATGCAAAGTAATTGGTATTACTCAAGGAATGAGAAGGGGAAGGATTGCCAGTTAAGGAATGTGAGAGGGAACTAAAACACATGGTTGCATCGAAGAGTCTTAACAGACTTGTAACAGCAGTAATGTAGAGGAGGGTGCAAACCTGTAGGAAACAGGCTTTGTTCTATTTAAGAAACAGTTTCTCTGAAAAATGTTTTGTTGTAGATGTCAAATAATCTTTAGTTCTTTTGAGTCCATTGACCTCAGTAGTGGGCTGTAACATAAGGTGTTCATTCTACCAACAAGTACCGTGAGATGACCTGCTAGTTCCTAGCTCTCTACATTCTGTAAACATGTCTCAAAATGTTCCTTGCACCATACCTCGGAGCAGAGAGGTAAAGAGAAGGAGAGAAAAACAATGTTTAGGATTAGAAAGTAAGACATAAGGGAAAGTTACATTAGATTTATTAGGAAGTGGGGGTGATGTCCAGACTAGAGGAAAGGTGGCTTGCATCAGTGCTGCTGTAATGTTGAACTAGTGACTGGGGAAAAGCCAAAACCAATGAGAGATTGCTGGAGTTCCTGCAACCTTTAGAACTGATGTCCTTACACTTGTGTATCCTCCAAGGGTTAGGAGAAGAGCCAGTAGCTCTGGTGAGAAATCATAGTATAATTTAGGTTGGAGGGAATTTTAAAGGTCATCTAGTCCAACCCCCCTGCCATGGGCAGGGACATCTTCAACTAGATTTGGTTGCTCAGAGCCCCATCCAACCTGACCTTGAATGCTTCCAGGGAGGGGGCATCTACAGCTTCTCTGGGCAACCTGGTCTAGTGGTTCATCATGCTCATTGTTTTTTTAAAAAAAAAAAAAAGTCTTCCTTTTATCTAGTCTGAATCTGCCCTCTTTTAGTTTAAAACCATTGTGCCTTGTCCTGTTACTACAGGCCATATTAAAAAGTCTGTCCCCATCTTTCTTGTAAGCCCCCTTTAGGTACTGGAAGGCTGCTCTAAGGTCTCCCTGGAGCCTTCTCTTCTCCAGGCTGAACAGGCCCAACTCTCTCAGCCTGTCTTCATAGGAGAGGTGCTCCAGCCCTCTGATCATCTTTGTGGCCTTCCTCTGGACTCGCCGCAACAGCGCGATGTCTTTCTTATGCTGGGGACCCCAGAGCTGGACGCAGTACTCCAGGTGGGGTCGCACCTGTTTTGATGCAGCCCAGGACACAGTTGGCTTTCTGGGCTGCAAGCACACACTGCCGGCTCGTGTTGAGCTTCTCATTAACCAATCCCCCCAAGTCCTTCTCCTCAGGGCTGCTCTCAATCTCTCCATCCCCCAGCTTGTATTGATACTGGGGGTTGCCCTGACCCATGTGCAGGACCTTGCACTTGGCCCTGTTGAACCTCATGACATTCACATCAGCTCACTTCTTGAGCTTGTCCATGTCCCTCTGGATGGAATCCTATCCCTCAGGCGTGTCAACCGCCCCACTCAGCTTGGTGTCATCGGCAAACTTCCTGAGGGTGTGCTCGATCCCAATGTCTATGTCATTGATGAAGAGATTAAGCAGTACTGGTCCCAATATTGACTCCTGAGGGACACCACTCATCACTGATCTCCATTTGGACATTGAGCCTTTGACCATTACCCTCTGGATGCGGCCATCAAACCAATTTGTCATCCACTGAACAGTCCATCCATCAAATCTGTATCTGTCATTTAGAGAGAAAGCTTTTGTGAGAACCCCTGTCAAAGGCCTTACAGAAGTGCTGTAAGCTAGTCCAGAATGTAAAAAAAATAATAAAAAGTCCCATTTAAAACAGAATTTAGGAAAATAAGGAGCAAACTTGTGTGTGCATCGATAGAAAATGCTAGAATTAATTTTCAAAAAAGCGTGTGTATGTATGTGTATATTAAATCAGGCAATCTAGTTTTTTGTTTATCTATTTTAGGATATTGTCATAGTAGAGATATTAGAGGTTTGAGGGAAAGATTTTGAGTCTCAGAGCGAATCTTCTACCTCTGTTTGTGGTTAAAGTTGGTATTAAATAGCATGAATTCTGTTCCAAGAAATAGAATAATCAATAAATACATGGATACATGTAATGAGGATAAAGTTAACATACCTTTTGTAAAGGCAAGTCATGCAGCATGTGACTAGTAGAGTCCTATAAAGGAGTTGTTGGGCACACAGAGTTGTTGTAGAGTTGGTCTGGATGTCCTTGATACTGAAAGGTTTATGGACAGAATTTGGCACCAGAGGCTCTTAAAGAAATACACTTGTACCAGTGTCAATGAGGAGTTCTGTCATAGATGAGTAATTGGTTTAAAGATAAAAGAGAGAGTGTTAGTAAATGGTTGTTTTGGGAATCCTACATAAATCTGTGATGTCCTCTTCAGGAAAGAGGGTAGAAATACTAATGAAAGTGATTGTATTCCTAGTAGTAACGACAGGGAAAGACTTTGTGGTACTGAGTGTCTGACTGAGACAGTAAACATAAGTAAATGTGAAGAGATACATTTGGCTTGGTGGGGGAGGCAAAGTCTTTTAGCTGAAGTACTCATGAACCTGTATATAATACTTAGAAATAATTGAACAAGTAAAGGGGTTGCCAAAGATTACGATACTACCAACGATGTAACAGAACTATGTAAGTTAGAGAAAAGTGTCAAGGATGATAAAAAATAAAGAATACTTCTCTAGAAGGAGGTACTAAATGGATTAGGATACTCCTGTGTTGGGAAGAGGTACCTGGAGGGAGCGACATGGTGGAAGATTTTGAAAACCATGAGTAGCACAAAGTGAGGGAGTAAGCTATGGTTATGCGCTGTTTATTACAAAGCAAGGGATCACTTGTGTTAGTAGATCCAAAGCAATTTTTTTTTTCAACACGTGATAATGAGATCCACTATATAGTTATAAATGACCTTATAGATGCTAAGAGTTTGTTGTCAAAAGGCATTTGAATAAGGCCAGGAAAAAATGACTATGGCTGGACACAAATAGTTAATGGCTGGAGCGGGAAATCCCTGTGTTTCAGATCTCTGGGAAGGTGAAGCAGACAACTATTGATATTTACTTGACATGTGCTTACATTCTTCCCTAGGTACCTACTGTAGGCCACTGATGAAGACAGGCTACCAGGCTACATAGAACTTTTGTTTTGGCTTAGGATGGGAGGTATTCTGGTGCATGTTACAAAAAAAGCAAAGCAAACTCATCTATTTCTCACTTGCCCTGCCTGCCTAAATCTTGTAAGTTTTGGAAGACTTGTTTGAATTCTGTTGCCCTGTGTGGAACAGTGACCTGATCACCCAGACTGCTGTGTGATGGGAAGCTTGTGACTGAGTTACTGGAACGAAGCTTCTTAAAGAACTTCAGCATTCTGTTAGTGACTTTTTTTTTTTTAAATGGAAATGGTTTCACTGTACTTTTCACAAGAAAAAAAAGTGTTCACTTGGAAGCGAGGAGGGAATTGTTTATTGAATAGGCCCAGACACACAGGGTTATGTGTTCTGTAATTTCTCTAAGTTGTCAAATAAAGACTGTGGCTGGGCCAAGGAAAAGTTTATTTCCTGCTTCTCTATATGTAAGGAAAAGAAACTGAGGAAGAGAGAGTTTGAAGTAAGAACCCTTACTTTAATGCAATGGTCATTAGGATCATCACATCAAAATAAGTCATAGGAAAAGGTGGATGTCACCTCATATTTGGGGAGGAAGTGTTTCTGTGCATTTGCCCTTGTTACTTGTCTCTAAGAATTTACCGATCTCTTTATGTATCCATGTTTCCCCTACCTCTTCAAAAATTTTGTTGTTTGTCTCGAAAATAAACATCACTGGCTTTGCTCTAATGGACCAAAAATGAGGGAAGCAGAATTCAAAGTTAAGGAAATGTCTGCTGACTGTTGGGACCCTGTTCATATTGAGAGGTTTTCAGCTTGACAGGAGCAGACTCTTGTCCAAGAGGCTCAAGCCATGACTTTGAAGTTAAATCGACCACTGGAATTCTGCCTCAGAGTTTTCTAGTGTGCCAGGCATATCAGCAGCACTGGAGCAAGCTTATGATGCCTGTTAGCTCATCTGACATGTGGTGTTCATCAGTCCAAGGCAAAAAAGCTGTATATCTAGTTTTGTCTGCTTTCCTCAGAGACTGATTTGGGAGGTACATATATCTTGTTCAGGCAAACTGTGGGTTGCTATCAAAAAGGGCACTTCCACTATTATCCTCCAGCCTGGCTGATGTGTTCCTGCCTTTTTCATGCCTCAGATACAGTGATTGTGTGGCTCCAGGATGATCTTGGATAAGCTTGATGATCTGATGGGGAAACTCTTTCTTCTCTAGTCTATTCTCCCCACCCCATCGTGAGCTGACTCAGGACTTACTGTGGCAGCACAGTGGCTTGATCTGATGCAAGGCAAACATTAGGAATGAGCAGTGGGGAAAGGGAAGGAAAGGAAGGAATGAGACTGACTTTTTCAGTGACAGCTTGCAATAGAATTACATAATTACAATGTGAGGCAATACTATACGTCCTACTGGTTGCTATTAACATATCGGGGAGTATTAACACACCAGCAATGCTGCCTCTCTACTGATAATTTAGGATGCACTTGCTCATCCACTGATCGTGAT